AGGGGCCTAGGGAAGGGTGGGATTTTATCTCGGCCACCCCCCTCTATGACCTATGGGCCTCACTCTGTGTTCAGGGGGTTCCCTGAATTCTGGATGACCCAAGCCAGCTCCATTCTGATTCTCATTTATCTGAACCGGATAATCCACCTCTTAAGGGATCAGGTTCCAGACAGTTGCAGACGTAGAAGTCCCGGGGACGCGCGATGGCTTGTCCTCCCAAGCCTGCCAGGGGAAACTTTTGTAACAAACACCTTACTCTTCTGTTTGGGGACAGAGTTCTGGAGACTGGGATCTTGTGTCTTGCACACCAGGGCGACAGGGAGCTCACCCCCTCCTGAAGCTATTGTGGAGGTCTGGGTGACCTGGTCTGTGCTGTGGGTGCATCTCCCCTCTGCTGGGCCCAAAGGAACCCCAAATCTGACGGGTTCAAAGCTGGATGCCAGGTCAGCTGCCGAGGGCAGACGCCGCTGGACAGGGAGGGCTGGGCAAAACCCGGGGCCGGAAGTCGGTGGGGATCAGGACCCAAAATTCACACCACGGGTGGGAGACAACTGAGGCTGTGGCAGGGAGGTGTCCCAAGAGTCTCGGGTGAGGAAACTGGCTCAGAGCCACGTGACTTGCCCTTGCCCGTAGGTCACTCAGAAAGCTAAGCCTGAACCCACACCTGCCAGGGTCCAGCCCCTGGGTGCCCTCGTCCTCCTCCCTGTTCCTCAGCCTCGCCAATGGTCACCCCAGACTGCCAGTTAATTCTCACTGCCTGGGGCAAATGGGTGAACACAGCCGGGACTATTAAAATGGGGTTCTAATTGGGCCCAGCCCTGTGGGGGCGGGGCCTCGGGTCGGGGGCGGGGCCTGAGCGCCGGCTCGGCTGGGAGCCCCTCCAGGAGCCGACCTGTGAGCCTGGCGGTTCCGAGTGGGGACTCCGGACCCTGCACGAGTCACCTCACTCCGTTGGACTCCCTTTCCCTACCCGCAGCTCCAGCGGAATGACGACCTCCATGCCAACAAATCCTTGCACACGCATGCCCAAAGCAGCTCTGTTCGCCGTTGCCCAAATGTCTATCGAGGGGTGAAGGGAGAATCCAAATGTAGTCCATCCACGCTAAAGAATATTATTTGGCCACAAAAAGTTACGAAACGTTGACACACGCTGCCACGTGGGTGAAAACGTGGACGAAAACGTGGACGTTTATGCTGAGTGCAAGCCAGGCCGGAGAGGCCACACGGAGCATGATCCCATCCACGTGAAATGCCCAGAACAGGAAAATCCACAGAGGCAGGAAGCAGATGAGTGGGTGCCAGGAGTGAGGGAGGGGG